AGAAATGCATCACTACTGCAATATACACATACTGAAAATGAAAAGATGGACAATGATATTCCATGCAGATGAATTCTGAAAGCAAATCAGAGTACTTACATCAGATAAAAGAGACTTCAAGTCAAATTTAATAAGAAAAGACAAAAACCTTTCATACCATGATGGACCAACCCGGTAAGAATCATTCATGATTATAAATGCATATGCAGTGAAATTTGATGTTTCTAATTTCTTTATAACATCAATGAACGTAAACAAAAGATACGCTCCACTGTACTCCACTCTCATAAATACATGAACCATCCAGACTAAAACAATCAACAAGAAATGCTGTAATGAAACTACAGTAAAATTCAGCTGTACTTAGTAGGCTTCCTTGGAATTTTCTTTCCAGGAAACTCACCTTCCAACCTCTCCTCTGTCTCTATGAGATGGGAGTTTTTTTCCTTTGAAAAAAATCTACATTTAAAAAATAAAAATAATTTTCTTTCTAGAAGCAGAAGCTCATGAAATTATGTACAGATATACTAGAATTGTTTTAGGCACTATTCAGCATGTATAAAAGATAATACAACTCTTTGTGTGTCAGATCACAATGGAAGAGTAATAGATCCCAATAACACCAAAAATTACAGAAACAGAAATACTTGGAGATTAAACAATAAACTTTTGAATAAGCAGTGTGTCTTTGAAGCTATCAAAGAGAAGACTCAAAAAATGTATAGAATCAGGTAAACTGGAAATAAAACACCCTGGAAGCTTTAGAAACCTGAGGGTAGTCCACAGGTATTTAATGGTATGAGTACTTATTTTAGCAAATCAGAGCAATATGAAACTGAATACATAATGATACATTAAAAAGTAATAAAATAGGAGCAGTAAAACTTTTATCCAGCTAATGAATCTGAATAATAAACACTAGCGCTGAACTTAATGAAATGAAAACTAAAAGCAACACAAATGACTGACAAAATGTTGGGAAAAAAAGTTTTTCAAAAAGATAAAGCATTGATAAACAAACCCCTTTATTATCCATAATAAAACTTGAAACATTTTTGTCATTTAGTAATTATTGTCAATCTGAGAACAATTTGACAAGAAATTCTATCTAAAACACTAAAAATTAATCTTCAAGTGCCAGATATTTCAAGAATTTCTTCTAATGTGCTTATGTTAAATTTTCCACATTTTATTTTAATATAGAAAGGTGCTACCAAATACAAACCAAACTGTCCAAGACACGGAGACACATTCTGGGGATGCACTGAATGAATAATAAATCTGTAAACCATGTGACCCCATAAGACTTGAGATGTAACATTGGGAGAGTCTAGATAGAGTAATGTGCTTTTCTCAATGAACTGACACTTACCACACCTAGGAATATTTTTTTAAAAACTGGCAGAGTTCCTTTCCTAGCCTTGGCCTGGGGCCAGCCCGTGTGCTGCGGACTTGGCCTTTGTGGTCCAGGCCCCCATGGACTTTCCCAAGCTAACATTTATGCAGATTGCAGACCACCCCCATGGCAAGGTAGCCTGGATTCGTGAGGCCTCCGATTGTTCACTCAGGTGTCACCACAGAGGAGCACAGGGACAAGAGGTGAGCATATGGGCTCTCTGGAAACTATTCAGAGAGGATTTCCAGAAAATATGTCCTTGTAATATCTGTAAGACTATGGTCCACATCTAATCTAGTGAAAGAAGATGAGGCACATTCTCTGAATATGTCTTTAAAACATTCTTTACATGAATTGCAGACTCTTGAAAAGGTGCTTAAATAATTTTTATAAGATCCAACTAAAAATCTCATTTGATGAAATCCTCGAATATGCAGTTTGCAAATTTGAGATCTCACCTGGTAAGTTAACAAAATTAACAGTTCAGGTGATAGATGATGAGATCTAAAGGTGATAGAGAATTGATCATTCTCTAAAAATAGATAAAATGAAGGTGACCCTACTTGTATGATATTTTTGAAATATGAATTTACTTTATTACCAAAACAAAAACTATCATAAAATTCTTCAAAAGATGGGTATAATTCCTGACATATAAAGTGATTTGATAATGAAATTGATAGTGCACAGGATGACTGACATTAACTATAAATAAATTTCCTAGATTTGCAGTAATGCTGAGTTAATTTTAAATGATTCTCTTCTTGAAATTATTGTTACTTTAAAAAGATAAAGACAATGCATTATAAAATATGTATTGAAAAGTTATGTAAACTGAAAAGGCACTGGAAAATCTGAGACATTAAAAAGTCTTAAAGGAATCATGTTATTTTCAGAGGACATTATGTTTGAAGAATAAATATTGTTAATTTAGGAAGAGTGGTTGTATCATGTCTAGGTCAAGCATCAAGACATGGTCATTGCATGTATATACTCCCTGAGATGAACGTAACCTTCAGTTTACCCTACATAACTACAAATCAAAAATAAGTGAAATACTATGCATATGCAAAAATGAAGAATGTAGTGTATAACATGAGCTGGTTAACATGAAATGTATTCTCCAAGATTAGGAATATTTTCATTTAAATACAGGATATGTCCAATTAAATGTTGATTCCCTGGAATTTTCTCTTTGGGGCATGTAGATAGCTGTCTACACTGAAATCATGACATAACTAACCCAGTCGTTTTAAGTATATGTATGTAGTGATCCATATAAGAATAAAGGGGTTACAATTTAACAACTCTGCTTTGGATATGAATTTGTAATATACACCTAGGACTCATAGGAAGCAGGAACATTGTTACACCACCAGGCTGAGCCAGAGGAGAGATTTTCCCTGCACTGCTTTGAAACGTGCAGACGGAGGACACATTTGTGAGTTCAGTTCCTCATGAACTGTGGTGAAAGCAAACTTTCTTATCTGACTTGGACTTCTGTGCATTTTTGTCAACGAATACAGAATCATGAATCTCAAAGTAATATTAATGTTTTGTGCTTATTCATTTTATTCATTATTGTGGTAGTCATGGGTTGTGAGGAGAACAATTAAAATCAAGACATGGAATTTATATTATTTTATGATGGTTACCAAGAGTTACCACAAGTGCAGGAAATCTATACACAACACTAAAGACATAGAATATTCAGCTAAGGGCCTGAATCTCACAGCTACATCCTGCATGAGTCCAGATGAAGACCCAGAGCTCCAGCCTCCCACTCCCAGCTGGAGGGCTAGAGCCCCACAAGAACTCACGCCAGTCTCTTTTACAGATCTGTGTTGGGAAGGCCCAAAAGTCAGCAGTGGAAGCCAGAAAGTCTATGACAGCAGAGTGAAGGAGCTGTGCTTGTAGGTTAAGGATTCTACACTGGAGCCAAGAAGTCATGCTCAAAACAAAGACCAGGGCTGTTCTGAAAAAGCATCACAGCAGTCCTCAGCAACCCAGCAGCCCCAAGCTCCTCTGACGATAAGCACAGTGGAGTACATGCCAGGAAGCCAGCGTGACAAGTTCATCCTGGAGATTAAGCCGCACATGTCTTTCCCTCCAGAGCCAGGAAGCAATGCTCGATGTAAGGACCAGAGTTTCTCCAGGAGAACCAGCGGCTCAAACAGTAACACATAGGATAACCCACAATGTCTCAACACCTCAATGCCTCTCTTCTCCTTCTCCATGTCTCTATTTATGCTGGCAACTTTCCTCAGGTGGAGCATGTATACTCAGCACCATGGTGATTTAATTCAACTGGCATTAAGCTGACCACCAATTTTTAATCTATAACAATTATAAAATATAGTTCATGTAGATATTACAAAAATAGACATAATAAAACTTTTACACTAAAGTTTTGAAAAAGAGCTGTTGCTTTTTAATTTAAATATGCTATGTAACATATTTAAATGTTCTATATTTGACATAAAGACCTAATGGGAAGATTAACAGCACATCAGTCAGTAGTATGTTTTCTATGTTTACTGATTATTTATTGAAAATAATTGAGATTGTCAGAGGAATAGTGTTTCAGTTATTCATCGTTTTCATATTATGGCTAAATGTAATGTTGCATATAGCTAACATTAGCAGTTTAGTTTTCTTATATCTTGTATGATCACCTAAACTTTTGGTTAAACAATAGCAATGACTATGTGAACAACTCCTGAAACTTCTGAATGTTAAACAGACATATTACACACAAAAATTGGGAAACAATATTCATAAAAAATATAAAGAAAAACACAGAAATGAAAATGATGTGATAGTAGCTATGCCGATGTTGGCAATGGTGTCCATGAAACTGAAAAATCACAGCTGTCAGTGAGGGATCCCCTCCCCAAGGTGCCCTGGAAACACTCTGATTCAGATCCAGTGAGTTCCAGGGGCTCCAGGGAATGCTGGCCTGATTTTAGGTTTCTGTGGCTTCTCTATGATATGTGATTATAGAAATCACCTTCACAAGCTCCAATGGACCTTGAAGACCATGTGAAGAGAGGAAGTGATCAGCGGATATTTAAAACTTGGTGAGAGGATTCTTGGGGTTTTGTTTTTTTGTCTTTTGAGATTTACTTTCCTTTAAAAGTCTTTGTCTCTAGAAAAGATAATATAAATAATCTATTGAAAATCTGAAGAAGTTATAAAGACAATCTTTAGGAAGAAAGCACATTGTGGGGATTATAAACCTTTTAGAAAACTGAGTCAATTAGTTAGATACTTCAATATGTTTATATATATTCATAAGGTCTCATCTTGACCATTGATCTTGTAAGTGAAGAAAATATCTGAATTTGAATATATCTGTGGAGAAATATGTTATTTCTCATGAGCAATGGACTCACATTATATATTTTGTTCAGATGAGTGTGCCAAGATCAGATAAATACCTGAGGGAGACAATGGAGATCGTTTCTCAAAATAGTTTCATGTTTGTTAAAGATCTGTAATAGTTGAATAAGGCAATAAGAATAAAATGATGAACTAAAGTATCTTCTTATGCTTTATGAAATACCATTGCAGACACATCTGTGAAAAGCTAAACAACTGCCAGATGGAAAATTACACTCAGACTCCAAGTGACTTCATCTTACTGGGCCTGTTCCCCTCATCAAGGGTTAACCTCGTCCTCTTCATTCTCATTGTCCCATTCTTCCTAATGGCCCTGGCTGGCAACCTGGCCATGGTCCTGCTAATCCTCCTGGATGCCCACCTCCACATTCCCATGCACATCCTGCTCAGTCAGCTCTCCCTCATGGACCTTATGTACATCTGCACCACTGCCCCCAAGATGACATCTGACTTTCTATCTGGAATCAAGTCCATCTCCTTCATTGGATGTGGGACCAAGGCTTTCTTCTTTGGGACTTTAGCTGGTTCAGAAGGACTCATCCTGATGTCCATGGCCTATGACAGTTATGTGGCTATATGCTTTCCTCTACACTACCCCATCGGCATGAAAAGAAGAGTGTGTGTGCTGATGATCCTGGGATCCTGGGTGATGAGTGCGGTCAGTGCCTGTGCTCACACAGTATACGCACTTCATATCTCTTACTGCAGGTCCAGGGCCATCAATTGTTTCTTCTGCAATGTCTCAGTCATGGTGACTCTGGCCTGTGAGGACACCAGCATCTATGAGTACACTGTGTTCTTCAGTACCGTTATTTTTCTCCTGTTTTTTTTTCTCCTGATTATTGTGTTCTCCTATGGGAAAGTTCTCCTTGCTGTCCACCACACAGGCTCTCAGGAAGGCAGGAAGAAGTCCTATTCCACCTGCAGCACCCATCTCATCGTGGTGACTTTCTACATTGTACCGTTTGCTTGCACTTATTTCCGCCCAAAGTCCCTCTGCTCTCCAGCAGAGGACAAGGTCCTGGCTGGGTTCTACATCATCCTCACCCCGATGCTGAACCCTGTGATTGACAGACTGAGGAACAAGGAGGTGCTTGGAGCCCTAGAAAGAGTGACTCGGAGAATCTGCTCTGCGAAAATGTAGGCAGATTCCTGTCTCAGCATATTCAGCAGTAGATCACTACATGAAAATATTTAATGTCCAGGATTTAAACCGAATTTAACCTGTAATATTTCAAAGTCATGATATGTGATGTAAACATTGTATATTCTGGTCTCTATTATTCATTTTACTTTTTTGCCATCAAATAATGGGCACGTATTTTTCACTAATGTGAATTTAGTGATTTCCTAACCTGGAAAACCAAAATGGAGAATACTGAAACATTTGCCTGTCATTCAGAATAAGGCTGAGATCAAGAATGTGGCTGAATATTCAAATTTTCACAGGTGGTGCTTTAGCTGACATTTTGCCACACTTTACTTCAAAACCCTGCACCACATTTGCACAGGTTTCCTGGCCTTGCTATTTCCCAAGGCAGTGGCCTCTTTAGTTCTTCTCTTCTGTCCTGCTGTCCTGAACATGTTCAGAATATTTCCTCACACGGTCCTTCTGATTCTGTGGAAGAGTCAGAGTTCCCAAAGGGCCAGATCTGGCAAATCAGGCAGATGAGGACAGGCTGTCAAGTTCTTATGAACCTGTTTGTCCGATCAGTGGGAACTGACAGCAGTGTGCGTTGTAAGTTTTGTCACTCATAATGATACTTACAAAAGAGGGTTTGTAGAAATGCTACAGAAAGAGGCAAAAATAATGAAATAAGCTGTGTTTTCAATGAGTAGAAATATTTTGAGGATGATTGATGCAAATATGATTTTTACTTCAACATTTTAAAAAGTCAAACATTCATTTTGTGGTTACTCATTGTATTAGTTTGTCAATTCCACAATTTGTTTACTCTTAAATTTACTAAATTAGCACAAAATCAAAACAAATATTTGTAATGGTATAACTGAAAACAAAAGTATTTGATTTATTTAACAGTAACATGTAAGGCACACTGCAGTTTCTTTACATCTTACTTAATTTTTTAGCAATTTGCTCCCAGTGTGCACTCTTAGGCATGTTGTAAAATTGTTCTTTATTACCCAAATATGCAGGGAAACTTATTGGTAGGGATAATATGGTGGGGTTGCCCTCAGGATGAAATGGGACACTTTTGTACTCACCATGAGACAGGTCTTGGATTTCATGATTAAAACCTCCTGGGGCGATATGTATCATGTTGGCCTACAGTTCAATAATGTCTGGAAAGTGCCAATTTATATTTTACCATTTTTATGGGAAAAAAGTAAAATAAAATTTTGTAACCTGATGATTGGAGAGTAACATCAGCTCATCCATTGCATATTAGTATCTTTGAAGTAGTTACTCGGTGCAAGATAGGAAAATAAGAACTCTCCAATTCACATGTGCCAAACTTCCTCTTCCATGAACTAAGAATGCGAATAGCATAACTAACTCACATCACATTTCACTTTTCATGGTAGTGATATGTTGTTTCTGTTCAAAAGTGAATTTTTTTGGTAAAGTAGTCACTGCTCGAGGACAGATGGAAAAAAGGAAGCAGAATATTTCTTGGAAAAAGTCTTGGCTTCCAAAATCACCACGATGGTGATGACCATGATTCCCCTGTGAAGACAATCCTGTCACAGAACTTTCTTTTAATAGCAGCAGCAACTCATGAAACTTATCCAAATATTCTAAAATTGTGCTTTAGAACTTAGTTTAACAACTACAAAGAGATAATACAGCTTATTGTGTATCAGACCACAACAGAAGGGTGATAGATATCAGTAATCACAGAGATCACAGGAGCTAGAGTAATATGTGGATATTAAACTTTTGAATCAGCCGTGTGATTGGAAGACATCAGAGGAAAAACTGAAAATATGTAGAGTAAAATGAAACTAGAAATACAGCTCCTTAAAAGCTATTGGAAACTTTGAGAAGAGTCAGGAGCATTTGTTGGTGTGAGCATACACTTTACAGCAGCAGAGCAGCATCAAATAGGTGACCGCATAGTACTTTTCAGAGAAATGAAACCGTGAGAAGTCAAACTTAAAACCAGTTGAAGAAGATAAAGAATAAATACTAGAGCTGAAATTAATATAATAAATGACTGATGATACAATAAAAAGAACAAAAAGATAAAATAGATTCATAAACCCTTAGTTAAAAACAAAAAAGTAAAAACCTTTATTATCCACAGTAAAATTGCAGTACTCTTTCTGGATTCCGCACTTATTGCCATGAAAACATTTTGAAATAAATTGAACCAAAAGCAAAATCTTCAAATGCCAGATATTTCAGAATTGTCTTCCAGTGTGCTTATGTTAAATTTTCACATTGTATTTTAATAGGAAATTATTAAAATAATAAATATCTACATTTATATTATTAATTTGCTGCATAACCACAAACCTGTCAAAGACATGGAGGCACATCTGATAATGTACTGGCTGAATAATAAATATGTAAAACATGTGATGCCTTGAGACTTTGAGGTATCATCCTGAGAGAATGAATTGAATAATGTGTTTTTTCCCCATTGAGTTGGCTGTTAACACACCTAGGTACATTTTTTAATGCCGGACAGGACTTCTTCCCCAGCCTTGGCCCAAGGCCTCTCTCTTGGTCTCTGTGGTCCAAGGCCCCTTGGACCTTCCCAAGCGAACATGTACCTGGACTTCAGACCACCTCCATGTCAAGATGGCCTGGATCCCTGAGTTTTCCAAGTGTTCACACAGATATCACTGCTGAGGAGCACAGGGAAAAGAGGTGAGCATGTGGGCTTCCTGGAAAGTATTCAGTAAGGATCAGCAGAAAATATGATTTTGTTTCTAAGATTCTCATGAGTTTATGGTGATTTGTCCAATCTAGTGAAAGGACATAAGGTGTGTATTTTAAAAATTCATTATAGGAAGTTCAGAGTCTTGAGAAAGCACTTAAAATAATTTTGTTAGAACTAATCAAAAACTTTGGTTGATAAAATATTTGAATAAGATATTTGCAAATTCAGAAGTTTCACCTAAAAAACTTAAATGAAAATTTTGACTAACATGCATTCAAGTGATAGTTGGACAGATAAAAGAATGATAGATGATTAATGATTTTTCTCTAAAACTAGATAAAATAAAAGTGACCTTAAATACCTGTAAGGTAGTTTTTAAAAATGGATTAGTTTTATTACTAAAACAACAATTACTGTAGCACTCTGCAAAGGTTGGGTGTGGTTTCCGACATGTAAAGTGAATGGAAATTGAGCTGATAATGCACAGTAACTGATATTACATATAAATTAATTTCCTGGGTTTACAGTAAGTCCAGGTATATATTAAATACCCTTTGCTTGCAATGATTGTTATGTTAAAGAAGAAAGGACAACATATTCTAAAATATGTATTAAAATGTTATATAATCTCAAATGTTATTGGAAAATCTGAGATGTTAGAACGTCTTTAAGGAGATGCGCTATTTAAGAGGACATTATGTTTGAAGAACAAACACTGTTTCCTTAGGAAGAGCAGTTGTATCACGTCTAGATCTAGAATTGAGATGTGCTCATTGCATGTACCCACTCCCTGAGATGAAAGTAAACCTCTTGTATAAATTGTAGGTAAATTTCTGCATTGGTGTGTTCATCAGTCAGGACTCCCTGGAAAAACATTTAATGCTGCAACAATGTAACAACAATTAATGCATGAACATTTTGTAAGCAAATCCCTACAATACCCATAATAACATCATCTTCATTATCTATTTTAAGAAAATAAAATTGTTTGATAATTCTTAGACTTTTTCAGAGGAAATCATTAGAAGCTTTAAAACAGCACGTCTGTGATATTGGTATAGGAATCACACAGAACCTCCAAATGGTGTAGGGTGAATATAGTATCTCCCAACCTGCCAAATATCTGGTATGGATAGTTTGTGTTCCCCAAAATCAAAGAATGAATTCTAAGAAACACTGGAGGTTAAGAGTAGGAAATATCCACTGAGGAGGAAAGGGTCAGCTCCTGAGAGAGAGGCAGGAGGGGTCCTAAGTGTGTTGTTGTGGACTGCACTTCTCAGTGAAGTTTTACAGAGCACAATTAGGTGAGTAAAATGTGGGTTGCAGTATGATCAACTTGTAATATTAGAAGTATAGCTGCTTGTTTAATACGGATCCAATGGGGAAGAAAGTCATGCGGCAAGTGTACATAGAAACAACAGAGATTGTTTAGGAAGTAATGAGTCTTGCTCACTCAGAGGTGACTGATGTCTATCTGGACTTTATACACCTGGAGTTGACACTTGTCTCAGGCCAGATATTCTACCTTTATTTGAGACCCCAAATCCCACAGATGCGCCTGAGCCACAGTTGTAATGAGTTATCATCTCTGCCCTCACTCTCATGGGCTGCACCTGTGTGAGTGCTGATAGTATTTCTACTGATCTTAGTTGTCTGTAATACCCTGAGCAATGACTACATACCCAGGATCACCTGCACTCTTTCCCAACAGTTACAATACCCCAAAGTCATCCAGATTTGTTCCTGTCACCAAAGACAACATCATCCCTCTGCCCATTACAGAAAACTGCTGTAGCCAAGATGTCACAGGAGCATCTTAAAGACTCTGAGTCCTCAGTGTGTTTGCCCAGCACCATGCTACCTGGGAGCCTCATAGCTGTCTACAGTAATACTCTAAGAAGTTCTGTTTACATGCTCTTATTAAACTCATTTCATTGCCAGGTGCTTTGCCCCAAACAAACTGGGAAACAAATACTGCAAGCAGGCCATCATAACCATGCATGTGGTTATGATGGATCACACCATGGGCACAAAAGATGCCCTGGCATCTCAGAGGCAGGATGGCATGGGAAGCTCTGAGGGACCCTGTCTACTGTTCTCCACAGTTTCAGCTCTGTTTCCTACAGAGCATCTCAGTGCCCATCAGGACCATGCTCTCCCCTTGGCCTCAGGCCAGGCCATGTTCTCAGCGACTGGCTCTTACCTGTCCAGGTCTCAGTGGACATTCCCCAGGGCCACAGCCCATCCTTAGTCTCAGTCCACAGCTGCTAAAGGACAGGAATCGTGGCGCTGC